CTTCAATTGCAGTCGATTGGATGCTATATAATAATTATCAGACACTGTCTCACCTTGTCGTACATTCGATTCAACAGCCTGGGCACAGCAGGCATCACAGTAGGCCTCAAGGCTTTCATATCATCGGACAACCTTTTGATATCGCCGCTGTAAAATCCTACGGATCCGCCCACCATGTACATGCCATTCTCGCAGCATCGTTCCAACATGTGCGCCAGAGGCAAGAAGCTGATCATCGTGTCCTTGTACGAGGGCTTGTGCTCGCCCAACTGAACGAGTACCGCGCTTATGCCCGCTATCACGTTCTGGTGCGTCAACATCACGCCTTTCGGGTTACCCGTGGTCCCAGATGTGTAGGATATGGTGCACAGATCGGTCGATTTGGGGGGAACTTCCGGGTGATTCTTTTGGGCGCCCAGCCGCTCCACGTCGTCGAACTTGAGCAACTCGACGCCACGGTTCTTCGCCCTCTGGTTCGTCGTTTGTCTTGTTTCTTTTATCACCACTATTTTTCGTAGGCATCTGGAATGGGAAGCGATTGAAAATAATTAGAAAAGAAATAAGAAAAAGTAAACTGACACTAATAATAATAATAATAATAATAATAATAATAGTGATAAGAATTTTCAATATTGATTAATAATTTTAAGCTAATTAAGCTGAATTTATATAAAAAAAAAAAATCGTATATCGTGCCAAAATGTTTCAGGACATTGCACGGAAATGTTTAAATTTGTCTTCAATACCGCGTGAGATTTGTAAATTGTGTCGTGTGTCGATGTTGTAGAAAATACATTTATATTCATTCATGGCATGCTGCCACTGAAACATACCAAACATCACACGATCCCAAGTGATCTGAACTTTAACTTGTATCGCTATTTATTTGAAGACCACAATTAAAGCGTGTTATCTTTGTTCGAATTCTTTTTTAACACTTTTTCTTTCTTATTTTTTTTTTACTACAAATCGTATATTTACAGTGATAATAATAATATTTTTTAATTACGTTTCTACACGAAATAAAAATTCCCAAATAATTATCTTTAAATTTGAAAATTAACAAATGTTACGTTATTTCTTCTAAATAAAATAAACTAAAAAAGACTGTCTGAATTTACATACATATATATATCCCATAAATTATATATCCGTTGCAAATTCTTTCAGAATCTTATTTTCAATTATCAATAAAAATTATAAAGTCACAATTTTTTTTTTTTTTTTTGTCATTCCACAAAAGCCACTCTTTCTAATACACTTTTTGCATCGTTCGAACAAGTTTACACGAGAAAAATCAAATACCTTGGCGCTTTGTCGAGAAGCAAATTGCACTTGGTATCGTTCTCGACCACGACCAGATTGATCTCAGCTTGATTAATGATGAAGGCACACGCGTCAGGTCCCAGTGTGTCGTATAAAGGTACTACTACCAAAGAGTACGTGTAACAAGCTTGCTCCGTAAGGATCCATTCCGGACAGTTCTGACTGTAGAGACCGATGAGTGTATGCGATCCTGGCATCAGCCCCAGAGACACTAGGCCAGAACCGAAATTCTTCGCCCTGAGCAGGGTCTCGTTGTAATGTAGCCATTGATATGGTTTGTTTGGCCCATCCCGCCAGCCAAGACAAGGACCGTTGTCTGTGCATCACAAAAATCAGTCAACTGAATCGGATTATCGTTTAAAATTATCATTTTTTTAAGTAAGATTTTATGAAGTGGACGATCAAACTTCTTTTAATGGATTTAAAAATATACCACACGAATTTGAATCATATGTAATTTGAAGAGAGATTTGAAACGATTGTATAATGGTTTTTACTATTTTTGAATTTTCTTTTAATGCATTGTGTAATCTTTTTTTATCTTTTCTCACGTATTGCATTGCGACGTAATAATAAGAATATTATAAAAATACGTGTTTATCAGATGCTTCCAAAGAATAATTGAGCGTGTTGCACGAAAACGAGATAGGATTGAAACAGTAACTTTCTTAGTGATTTTCGAGACAAAACTTGAGGAAACGTGTGTTTTCGAGCGTGATGGTTCGCAATATATTAGTCCAGAAATTTTAATTGTTGCAACGCGCCAACTTGCGGTTTGGTTAAATATTTGAAAGAGAATTGGAAAATAATGAAAATAAAGATATACGAAGAATCAATGATAAAAAAAAATATAATTAATATATTTTTTATAATAATGATATATATTTAAATATTTAAATATTCGATTAAATTTAAATTATTGATATTATTTTAATTAACTTGAACGTTTTTAAATTAAATACATGAAGAAATTAAAACATTTATAATTGCTCGTAAAATTCTTCGAAGATATACGAATATCATTCAAAAATAATGTCTGGTTGGAAAACACAAATGTAATAATTTGCCAGAAAAAATATACAATGTTTTCTTTCAGTAGAATTTATTAATATTCGAGACACGTCGTACGTGTTAATCCAAATGTGATTCCAAATGAAAAATCTTTGATTCTTGAGAAGAAACAGAGGGATCAAATTGTTGAAAAACATTCTAGGGAACTTTGAACGAAAATTTTGTTCATTCAAAGTCTTGAACAATGACTTCAAATGCACGAATTTTAATGTAAAACTATAATCTGCGAAAAGATTTGAAATAAAAGGAATCATAATTATTTAATCAGAATGATAATTTTACTTTACTTTTACCATATTTCAAACGAATTATAGAAAAATTTTTCCATAATTGATGTTTCAATATAGGTTAGAAACGAAAAGTTACATCATAAATGAAATAAAACGAAATTGTCGATAATATTTGACCCGAAATCAACTTTTTATTCGCACTTTCACCATTTACTTCAATTCTACCATCTACTCGAGAATGTACATCATCATGCAAAGATCTCAAAGATCTCGATTTTAGTCGCATCGCGAGACAAATTTCACCGTGTGTAATATAGGTGCCGCTGTACGTATGGTTACACGTGTAGTATATACGACCACGACCAGACTATAATTCAGACTTACTAGACTCCTTGGCGCCTTTGCGGAAACCGTCGTACAGAGTCCTCGTGTCCTCGTACAAGAAGCTCACGAACTTTCCCTCCTTGCTGTCCTTATAAAACCTCGACACTTTGATCAAGTCGGTACCCTGCAAAACACATAACGTTTGCGCACGTGAAATCCTCCGTATACCTGTCGTATTACGTAACGGAATGCCAAGTGCAAATCTAAGTATAGCGAGTGCATCGCGCGACAAGTATATCGCGACAGATAGGCGCACACAATACAGGGAGTAGGAAATCTATAAGAACCGCCACGGTGGTTATCCGCGTATCCACTACTATCTAGAACTACCAGAAAACTACCATGTTCGACGTTGTTTCCCATCACGCGACAATTCATCGTCGCCAAGTCGCTTGTGCAACAAGTCTGCCCACCCACACACGCATGCCACCTCAAGATCGATCAGGCTGGCCCGTGGATTTCGTCATAATGTTTGTTCTACGTTTGTTCTACCCTCTATTAATGACGTGATATCACGGTAAACAGATCTCGGCTCGCCGTGTCTGTTATACTCGTCTACAATCTCCCTTAAAAATTGATCCATTTTTTTCAAAGGATCGGAGGTGATACGAGTACAAATGAAACAGGGTACCAAGAAGACATTCCACCTTGACTGTGTCGCATTGATCGTTGAGGTCGATCGGTGGTCGGATCGGCGGAGGAGAGAAACAACCGGACGTCATATCTCTCGGACAGTTGGCGAACGGTGCAGAGAGGAAGCCCGTTGCGGCCACGGGCCGACGTACAGCCCCCTTCGGCTGAAGATTTTTGCCCGGGTTGTACACTTGAAACGAGACTGGCCTGTTCACAGCCCACTCGGGATCGACACCACTCCTCTTCGTTCTGCTCGAGCTCACCTCTCGATCACTTTGCTTGTCACTCTACTGCCCCTGCTGCTGCTGCTCCACCGAGAGGAGCGGGCTGCTATCAGCGGCTCGCACATAAGACTAGCCGCTCGTCCATCCTCTCTACGACGATCTTCGACTATATTTAAATATAGTGGACCGCTCGTGGAGCGAGCGTCGTCCTCGACAGCCACCGAACTTGTTGGATGATGGCCAGCCGTAAAAAAAATCGATCAACCATCGGATTTTGACGTCGAACGAGCTGGTTGAAAGCGGCCGTTGAAGATTCTTTTTCGTGAACGACCGGCTATCGAGGTTCAAGGAATCGAATCGTAGCGCGGTTAATCTCAGTGGTGTAATCTCAGTGATTTAGAAGAAGAATTCACGGCTCGTGGAAATGAATTTGGGATCTCTGAATTTTCTCGATCTTCGAGTGGATCGTGTCTTTTTTTTTTTTTTTTGAGGGGATTCAGAATGATCGATGATGAACATTATTGTTGTGACTAAATGTTTATAGTTTTGGTTGAACATTCAAAAAGGTTAAATATTGCGATGATATTTCTCTATTTTTTATTGATCACTGTTAGAAGTAAATTAATTTTCAGAAGTGTTTTCTTTTCTTTTTTTTTTTTCTTTTCATTTGCACGAAACAGAATGAACAATTTCTTGTTCCTCTATCTCTTTTTTATTCTCTCTCTCTCTCTCTCTCTCTCACTCTCTTTCCCTCTTGCTCTTACACGAAAAACCTAGTTTAGAGAGATATCATGTATCATTTTAATTGCCAGCTCCTGAAATAGTTTTATTTATTTCAACGATACATAACGGTTACGCTCACTTGTTTCCGATTAAATTCACTATAATTTATACATCTTTGCTCGAAATAATTTTTTCGAATTGATTTTTAGAATCGCACAATTTAAAAATATATAGAGGAAAAGCTACGATGTCATTTTTATCGGCCGAGAAAACGTCAACGTATATTCTTCTCGATAAATTATATATATTATTATTATTTATTATAATAAATGGCGAAGAATCAACTTACACCATTACATCCATCTACATCCATTTTTATCTCTCGGTGTAACTCGGAGGTCGAGTGGCAGTCTGTCGATGATAAGGACATTCCAGGGGCAATTTCGAATCCCGCCTTTCCATTGGCTTCTATTTAAAATCGGTCCTTCAGCCTCACCCACCGATCAAGGATTCATTTTCAGTTGAACGCCAAATCCGATCGACTCCGGTTCGTCCAATATCTCTCGCTCCTAATCTGAAAACTAATCTGTTAAAGAAAAAAAACTATCGTTAAATACCATCCAAATTAATGAATCCCTCCCAGTACCTCTTCCTAATCCTCTTGGGAACCTTCTGCGTCTACGGATTATGGAAAACAAGCTCCCGTTCCTGGCAAACACCAAGAGTGCACGCCAAAGCGTCGATCCAGTTCGACCTCTCGATTCCAGCCTCGTCCCCGTCCGTTCTCCACCGATTCTCCAACAAAACCAACAGAAGAGCAACCGACAAAGGTCACAGAAGGTATCGAGGAGTTGTATCCAAGTACATGCTGGAGCTGTACCATCGCAGATCGGACGTGGACATAGTCAGAGCGTTGGAGCCAATCCACGTGTCGGGCCCAATCAACGATGGAGCCAAAATTCTCGTGTTCTCGGTGCCTCCAATCGATCCTGACGAAGTGTTGGAAGTGGCGGAGCTGCTTGGGGTAGCGGGATCCATCCTCAGGGTTCGTCTTGACTACATGGACACCTTCGAGAGCTGCAGATCTAGGAGGGACGACAGTTGGAGGGCCTTCAACGTGACTTCCGCGGTTGCCACGAGGAATGGCAGTGTTGTCAGGTTTCGGGTGTACGGTAGAGTTGGCTATCATCCTTGCGGGGACGGTCCGATCTTGCTGCTGAGCTACGCCAAAGTGAGGAAGAGGCGTCCACGGCGATCCGTCCAAGAGGAAGAGGCGGAGGAGGCCGACGGGCCTCGAAGAAGGCGCAAGAACTCGTGCAGGCGGCGTTCCATGTACGTGGACTTCGCGCTGATCGCTTATGACGATTGGGTGGTTGCCCCCCCAGGTTACGAGGCCTACCAGTGCTCTGGAAAGTGTTTCTACCCCTTCGGTGACCATCTCAGCCCTACGAAACACGCGATCGTGCAGACGTTGGTGCACGGGGCTCTTCAGGGCGTCGATCAGGGTGGAAGCAAGCCAGTTGGAGGGCTTGCTGCGTGCCTACCAGATTGGCGCCTACTAGTCTACTCTATCTGGACGCTAGTGGGACGTTGACTTATCAGTATGGGTATGAGGACATGGTTGTCGCTGAGTGTGGCTGCCGCTGAAGAAGCTATTCGGGTTGATGAAGGATGATGCGAGTGAACGTTATGAGAACGAAGAGAGACGTTTCTTTTTAATGTTCGATCGATTTATTTCTCTTTCTTCTCGCAGAAACGTCTTCAACGTCTCACATCTCTTAAGAATGAGATTTCCATTTCGATGTAGAAAAATATATAATATATATTTTAATGCTCGATTTTATTTAATTATTAATTTCATATATCACAAATCTTTCTTTATATTAAATTTTAGATTAGAATATAATATTTTTCACCAACAAATACGTATAATGTTTTTATTATATTATTATCTGAGTAAAAATATTCCTTCTGTGTAATAAAATATTTATTATTTATAGTTTTATAAATTATAAAATTCAAAAATGAAAAAACACGATATACATTTAACCCTTTATAATCGATTATAAGTTTTTCTATTTATTTATATCTATTTGCAAGTAATAAATATAAAAACTATTTTAAAATTAAATAATTAAATCGTATCAAAAAAATAAAAAATATAAAGTAAAAATAGAAACAAATAAAATATTTGAGATTATAAAGGGTCGTTATATAGTTTAAATCGAAATTGAATCGTGAAATAAACTAACCACTGGAATGACTTCAAGCGATTTTCACCTAATAAGATTTCTTCGAAAATTATAAATGCACCAAGTACTTACTTATACAATAATAAAAATCTCTTGCCTACATCTTTGCCTCACGTAACACATCGTTTCTGCGCATATTGCACTAAATGCACATGGAAAAAAAATTTGATATCCTTTATAATTGTCTTTGTATATTTTATAAAGTTTTATGACAAACTTCAACAAACAGTCTTCAATCGGTAATCTTCGAACACATTTCGTTATTCTTTCTGTTCAACAGATAAGATTTACCAGGATTATGCAGCCTTATCCTTCTAGTCTTCCTCAGCTTATGCCTACTTCCAGCCACTCTTTCGACCTTGTACACTTGATACTTAACCACGTTCTCTGGTTGGCTGAGTTTCATGCACAAAGACACTGGTCCAGAAAAGTCCACATCAGTGGCCAATTCCAATTTGGGTTCCATGGTCATAGAGAATTCAGCCATGCTCTGCACAAAATCGGATCGTACCTTTGTTCCTCCTTGGATCATCACTCCAGCCTTCAAATCTACCAGAGACTGGGCATTTCTGGACCATAAACTCAGTTGAATCTGTCCAGCTAAATCAAAGCTAACCGCACCCTGAACGTCGATCTCAACCACGATTCCTGAGGCCAATGGAATGTATTCGTTGTAATAGTGGATTGGAGACAAGGCTTGGAAGGCTGGAGTTCGTTCAGACGCTGTACCAGACCAAACGTGGCCCATGAGTTCCCCTTGACCAGAGAAGAAAACGAATGGTCTGATGCCAACTCCCAAGAAATCTAGTTCCATTCCTGCTGTAGCAGGTTCGTTATCTTGGATATCTTCTTCCTCAGACGTCGAGACGAAGCTTCCTAGACCTCCTGCGAACAGGCCAAGAGAGAACAGCGCCTCCTCGTGGTCCTCGACTTGGAGAATCACGTCCACTATTCCACGTTTCATCAATCCTGAATTGATTTCCTGAATGGTTACCAGTGATCCATTACTGTCTGGCGATCTTAAGAAACTTCTAGTGAATGCTGTGCTTAAACCTTTTTGGGAAAACACGTTATAATTAACGATATCTTTTCCACTTGTACTTAAAACTTCATTCAGATCCTTGGCTAATTGAGGATCTTTTTCAGAAAGCTGTTCCAATCGTTGACTAAGATATTTGCGGACCTCGTATGCAGGATCCGTGCCTGCCAAGTATTCCACAAGGTGTCTAATGTCTTCTTTCGATGGACCTGTTTCGAGAATAATATCTAAAGCCAGAGTTCTAGCACTACTGTCCCTCTTGGGTCCCCCTATTTGATAGAAAACACGTCTAGCCGCTTTCTTCACCTCAGATGTAATTGAATCTTTGGGCAGAATTGCCAAAGCTTTCCAAGCAGCAATGCTGAGCGATTTTTCCTCACTTGTTGCGAATTTTAACAACTTAGGGATTGCATTCTTGCTTCTTAAATTTCTTAGAGCTCTAAGGAACTTTAATTTGCATTCTTCTCCTGTGCAACTGTCGAGGCCAATTTCTAAGCTAGTCCTTGCTTTTTCGATAGCAGCTGGAGATCCTAGATGGCGTGCCATCGCTGCTGCAGTTAGGGCTAGTGTTTCTGCTATTTTATCGTTTGGATTAGTCTCTTCTGATCGTTTCAGAATATTTTTGGCGATATCTGCATCTGGTGTTGGGGATAAGGACAGGGCCCAGAGATATCTTTCGGTTTCGTCGCCTCTTTCGTCTTGTTTGAGAATCTTCATGGCTGCCTGATGACTCGCCACAGTTGAGGCCACACCAAATATGTCCAATAGTTGTGGTTTTAGTTGACGATATCGAGGACTTTTTAAAATTTTCAAAAGCTCGTCTGGAGAAGCTGATTTGACTAGAGGTACTAACTTGAGGAATGCAGAGGCGGATTTCCCTGTGCCCAAAGCGTTGTTCTCCAAAGCGTTGCGATACTCATCGATTGTTTGTTCAATCTGAAATTACATAAATGGATAAATAATAATTATTCCAAAGTAAGTTTTTATACTATCTTCTTTTTTTTAAATTTTCTATTATGTAAATATTTTTCTATATTTTATCTTTAATGTTTAAGAAGATTAATAAATTTTCATCTCTAATGAATTATTTTCTATTATTTTGCTAATATATCCATATTAATATACTGCAGAATAATCATTTCCACGATGTACAATTGTTTATTCAAAAATAATTTATAATAAATCCATCTGTATTTTTTAATTTTTTATACTGTCCTGAAGACAGTATCACAAGCATCATAAAATAATAATAATTAGTTGCTCTCAATAAATAAACAAAGAAGAGGAAACGGTAGACAAATAAAAGTCTCGAAGATAATTATAAGTCTTCCGGCTCTTTGTCACGCTATTGATTTTAGCGAGACAACAGATTTTATATTAAACTGTTACGAAACGATGAAGAGAGGATAAGCACGATATAAATATAATAATTGAAATAAATTTATAATAAAACCGAGAAAGAGAAATTCTTCGAACTAACCGTCGGACATCCGGTATCAGGGCACGCAAATGACTCCAACTGCAGTTCGATACTCGTCTCCCTACATCCAGGTTGCACAGCAGCAACAGCCTGCTTCAAGGTATCAGCTTGCACGGTTTTCGCGTTCAGTGTGCCAGGCAACAGTTCGAGTGTCCTCTCTGACGTAACTATGGTGCCCATTTCCGGTCTAGCGGCCAGCACCATCCTGTGCCTCTCCTCGTCACGAATCAGGCTGGGCAGAAGCAGGTCTTGCGTGAGCTCGTACGTGGAATTCCGACTACTCGACACTTTTACGCCGAACGATGGATTTGGATGTCGTTTCTTTGGTGGTAGAGTGCTTCGTTCGCAGGATGTTTTTCGTTTTCCCACTGTTTCGGGTCCGAGGGAGTGATAGATCACGGTACAGAGACCAGAAGCGTCTCGTTCTTCGACGTCGTTGTCGAACACTCTGTATTGGAGGAGACTGGCAAGGCCACGTTTCAAATTCGCAGAAGAGACACTTTCTGCGGGGTCTATGAAGATTGATTGCACTTCGCCGTTCCTCCAGACCAGCAAAAGAGGATTCTTTGCTAGGGCGTTTATCCTGGAAGAATGTTCGATGAATCCTTCCGGTTCCGGTGCCCTTCGAGATTTGATCCATAGTTGCGGATGATGAAGCTGGGAACAAAGTTTTTTATTTTTTTTATGTAAAGTAATGATATTAATAAGGAGAAATAGTTTAAATAATAGTTTGTTGATTAATAGCTTTTGAAGCTTTCTCTTTATAATTATAAGTTAAAAATTGTTTATCACATTTTGACCGAAAATTGGGATAACGAAAAGGAAAAGCGTGAAATTGAAAAAAGCAAAGGTTTTGAATGATTAGTGCTCAACAAATATTTTTTGAAAAATGACTATGCATTTGACTATGACTTGGCTATTTAAAATAGATAGTATTGTTACGATCGACTGATACCAATACCAATATCATGACAAATATTTATTCATTTGTGTAATTTTATTATTTAAATAGAATTATTTGAATATTTAGTTTCTACGATTAAAAATTTTGAAGATTTAAAATTTATATTTCAAAGTTTGCATTTTATATATGTTTAAGATAACACTTTAGATAATGAGTTTATAAATAATACATGAGATAAAAGCGAAAAAATTACTCGTTTATCGCAAAAAATTATAAAACGTAATTTATCTTATTATTAGGTATACATATAATTATATATAATTAAATATATATCTATATTAAATATATAAGTAATTTATTTTATGTTCACATCAATATATTTGAATTAATGAAAAAAATTATTATTAAAAATTAAAAATTATTTTCAGTAATAATTTTGAAAATATTAAAATGATTAAAAATATACTAAAAATAATTAAAAATATACAATTCAAAATACTATTTCATTTAATATCATTCATGTTTTGTTTTAACCTTTCAAAAAAAGGTTATCATTATTTTATATTAACATCTTTTTATAACTTATTTACTTTCAATTTAAAATATATTTTATTTTATAATAAATAATATATTTTTGAACAAGATGATTTATAAAAATTGAATTATTTAAATCATAAAAAAAAAATTTCGAAAAATAATATGTAATTTTCAGATATTATATTCAGTTTAAAAATATAAAATTGTATTTCAAAAAAAGTTACGTAAGTTTGCGATTATTGCTGCGAAAAATCTCAGTATTCCAACATTATAAGTTAATATGATAAAGATAAAATACTAATAAAATTAATAAAAATAAACATGACATATTACACAATAAATTCAATTACTCAACTCAATTCATTTTTCATTAATTCAAAATTCAAAAAAACATCTACCTCGATTTTCAATAAGAAGGTATCTCGATCATCCGGTTTCCGCCAAGTAGCAGTCACGTCCAACTCGCCGGTCAAACGAAAGCCAACATCTCCGCTGGATTTCGATGGAGCCGTCTCGCTAAACAGCAAAGTTGTTGTCAGTTTATATTTCAGCCCGCTTCCCAATTGCCAACCTCTGGTAGCTCCGGCTACAGCTGCAACAATCACGCACACTTTCCAGTACATGATCAATAATATAACAATGACGATGTGAATTCTATTAAACCCTGTATTCGAAGAAAAAAACCACTCGACGCGACAACGCGTAACAATTTAGTATGCGATCCAGTAGAGAGTCACTGGTCGACTGACTAATATTGTTACTCTTGAATGGCTAGTCTATAATACCAATGGAACACAGTGATAGTTGACTGTGTATGCGAGTTGTGGTCCTACAAACAGTATTAGTGGACGTGTTCGGTATCGTTTATGCGTGATAACTATGTACGATGTTTATGAAACGATTGTGGATTTATGAAATATTTTTTGTTCTTTTCTTTTCTGTTTGATGATATTGCGGAGAAGAAAATATGAAGTAAAGATGATGAGTTTTATTTAAATTATAAAATATTATTGATTATGTGATTGTATATACAAATAAAAAATTGATTTTTTGAATATAAAAGAATAATATGTATAATATTTTTATTTATAATAAATAATTGTTTAAATTGTATTAAAATTATATTCTCCTAGTTTTATATTAAGTATTCTTACTTATGTATATATATAATTATATATGTATAATTAATAGTTTTCTCTTCAATCTGATCATGAATCGAAGATAACGTTATATATACACATGAAAAAATATATATAACATAAAAATAATTTTACTTTCAATGTATAATATTTTTTAACATTCCATTCTTTTATCATTTATTTAGATTTATTTATTGCTTTTAATTTAAAATATATGATCCTGAAAAATTCATTTTTACAAATAATTCAGATTTCTTTTTATCGAAATAAAAATTAATTTATATATATATTTTAAAAAAACTTAAACAAGCATATTTTCTGGAATTTTCTTATATTATCACATGTTATCAACAAATTACGTATGTAATTATACTATAATTACACGTGATATAATTGCTAGTAATATAATAATAAAATATTAAATATTTCTAATAATATTTTTATCAATATATGTATATGTATATACATATGTGTTTTAAATTTAAATAAAGTTAAATGATTACATAAATTATAATTTAAATAATATTCCGTTTTAACCATTGTTTTAAATATTATTGACAAATAATGTACACAAAAACTTTTCCTTAATTGTATTATGCTTATTAATGCAGACATTGCTCTTGAAAATCAACTTGTGAATCTGCTTTCAACTCATCAATTCATAATTAATCACTCTAACGTGCCTTTACTTTCTATATTATTATTCTGACATGAGAAAATAATAATTCTAAAAAAACTAGAATCTAGTTATAATTATATTAACATGTTTGTAAAAATATATATAAGATGTTTAAATGCAAACACATATTAAGTATGTAGATTATATGGATATATCAAGAGAAATATGTTCACACGATTATACACGGTGACTCGAAAATACGAAAAATACGAAAAAATAAGAAAAATAACTTACAATAATTATATTCATTTGTTCAGTATTGTTAAATGATTTTAACTATTCGAGCATTAAAAGTTATACTCATAAAAATTGATTAACGATAATGTATTAATTAACAATATTGAAATTCGAATGATTTAATAAATCATAGTATATTCTTTGGAATCAGTATCAATACAATAGAATAATATATCATTTTTCATCTCATCAACAGAATTTTTTATTTATTTTAGAATTAAACTTTTTATATTTTAATTATATTTATTATTCTTCCTATGTATTTTTATATTTCTTAAATTGATAAATCGATTTTACAAAGCAGAATTTCTCAATTTTTCATACGTTAAAATTAAATGAAGGAAACGATTCTAGTTAGTAAGATACTAATTACATTCATTTGTTCAACGTTGTTTATTTTATTAAGATTTTTGAATCACCGGATGTATAAGCATGCGCATACCTAACATACACAGAATCGTCACAGTCTGGATCGCTCTTCTAAAAACGACGAGATACAGTGTGGCGTATAGAGAGACGCATGCATATACAGGGGGGTATTCTTTGCTTGTGTAGACACGAATCACACATAGTTACACAGTCGGACGATAGGCACCGTTAATTCACGGAGTCCCTGCTACACGACAAAGACACGGAAATGGTACCTCCGTTCATGTAATTGAGCTAATCATAAGGGCAAGCCGCTAAAAGCGAACATTTTTTTGCGTTAAATTATTAACTTCTTCTAATAAAAAATGAAAGGGAATTAAGTAGAAAATAATCGTCACGAACTAAAAAAAAAAAAAACCAAAAAATATTAATTAAAAAATTAGATATCATGGTAAAAATTAAAAATTTTTTTGAGAAAAGTAATGAATTTAGTAAAATACGAAAAAATTAATACAACGAAGATTTTTTTCAATTGCGATAGAAATTGTTTAGTTTTTACTGTTTCTTCGATTAACAACTTTTTCTTCAAAGTAATAATTTTCGGATTATGTAAATATGATTTTTTAGACCGAGAAAAAACTGCATCTACTTTCCAAACTTTCTTAAGCAATACTTTTCAATGAGAAATCTAGAATTGTTTAAGAGTGATTCTATTTTTTATATTTTTAATTTTATATTTTATAATTCTAATTATAAAAAAATAATAACTCCGAAAATTCGTATTATTTATTATTGAATCTTATAATAAATGTTCTAAATCAGTTTATAAATCTTAAGGAAAGATACCAATCTTAAATAGAATGAAATCCTATCATGAATATCTGTCTTATACTAAGTTATATTTGTTAGGAGATCAGTTATCTCGCCAAACAGGCTCTATTTCTTTCTTATACATCTTGACTTATATAATATTTTCAACTATGTTTTCAACTAATATTTTATCAAAAAATTTTACTATATTACGAATAATGTATATATATGTAAATATATGTAAACATATGTAAATATATTATCTTTTACTTTTTATTTTTCCTCAATTTTTTTTCCATTGAAATGTGTTATGAATTTAAAACAAATTGTAGATAGTGATTTACCTGGTGCCATTTGACAGTAGGAACCTGAAAAAAAATTTCTTAATTAGGGAAAATCTTTGGTATATTATAAAGTGATTAAAAATAATTTTTCGCACAATTAGCAACTTTTTTGTTAAATAAAATAATTATTTCAACCGAGTCAGTGTTCTGAAGGACGCAACCAAACAAAGTACAAAGTAGAGCCAAAAAAGGATTGAAGACATATAAAGAAAGAAATTCTGCATCGATAATTTTACGTGATTCATCAAATTCCATATTAGTGTAATGTAAAATTGTATGTTAGTTTCCTTTCAAACTGCATGTTTTTATTAGATTTATTGATTTTCTTTAATTTCAATAAAAAAAATTATGAATTCTTATTCCATAATAAATTTGTATAAATTTCTGATAATGTTTCTTAATGAAAAATCTTATGATATAATATTTAATAATTTTGAAGATCAAAGAATTAGTTTTTTATGATTTAATATTGAAATTAATGTTTGTTTAATTATATATATATATATATATATATTATATATTATATAA